ATAAAATATCAATGTTTGGAGTTATCCTTCCTGGCTGAGGATCGGATATCCTTAAGAGTTTACTTCATTTGAGTTTTTCCTTACAATGTAAGGTTTACGTTGTACTCCCTCACCAATTCGAAGAATGAGTAAATTTCTATAGGGAGACTTTTTATATGGCTATTCATAGCGTCACCTAGCGGCGAGTCAAGCGGAGAGAACACATTCATATCTTATCTCAGGTTATTCATGAAATTAGGATTCCATTGCACACACTACGTGTGCTTATGAAATCTACAATTGTCCTGGTGTGTTCTACGGAAGTTTATAGAGTTTTCTTCACAGTCCTCTGCAAAAAAAAAAATAATAACACCATTATTAGTTAATGCTAAATACTAAAATCTGATTGGTTTAGATACATTTTAAAACCGATATGTTACCATTAACTGACAATTCAATAGCTAAGTAAAACATTGAATAGTGTTCTACTGACCTAAACTGGCTGAGTTTACGTAATGATCTGAATTTGTTGACATGAGTGTAAGATTCAAGTGACCTTTCAGAATTTGTTGAGTGAAAGTTTTTTCTACTAACCTGAATTGGTTGAGGGTCGTTGACATGGTAACAAAGGTCCATTAGGATCTGTGGCATGAACTCGGGTACATTTGTTAGGATAAGCTTCCACTAGAGCACTGAGACCTAGGACACCAGCGTGACGCTTTATTAGGGCCTCCAGAGGCATTGAGTCCGCTAACTTACGCTTCTTCACCTTGTTCTTACTAAGGACTTCGAAGTGTTCCTGTTTAAAACAAGATTTCTTTGTGAAACACTGATGCCCCCGTATGGCAACTTAGCATAGTATGGAAGTCTTACTGGAAAACATTTTTCAAATTTGAAAGTAGGCCAATGTTGAAGTTTTTTCAATAAGTACAAAAATCTCAAAGGTCAAGATCAAAAGGTCAAGGTAATTAGTATTCAATGAAAGGATTTGATACAAAGAATACTTGTGTAGAGTATGGAAGCCCTAGCCCGTTCAGAAGTGATGACTAAGGTTATTTTTTTTAAAGTAGGTCAAACTCCAAGTTTTTATTATCAAATGAAAGGTCTTGGCACAAGGATTAAATATGTAAAGTATGAAAGCACTAGCCCTAAACCTTTAAAAGTTATGGTCAAGATTTGCTTTTTTAAAAGTAGGTCAAACTCAAAGGACAAGGTCAAAGGGTCAAAGTTCTTGGTATCCAATAAAGGGTCTTCTTACAAGGATTACAGATATGAAGGCTGAAAGCCTGATCCCTAACCGTTCAAAAGTTACGGCCAAGGTAAAAGTTTTTTCACAAGTACAGAAATCCACAAGGTCAAGGTCAACGGGTTAAGGTTGCTGATATCCAATGAAAGCTCTTTCAACAAAAACTACATATGTGAAGTATAAATGTCCTGTTATGTTGCAACCACTATTGAAATAACGAAAAATGTTAAAATAATTATATCAATAGTGGTTGAGAGTACATTTCAATAACAAACATAATTAGTAACCACTATTGAAATAATAATATCAATAGTGGTTGAGAGCACATTTCAATAACAAACATAATTAGTAACCACTATTGAAATAATTATGTAAATAGTGGTTGAGAATGCATTTCAATAACAAACATAGGTAATAACCACTATTGAAATACAACCACTATTGAAATAATTATATCAATAGTGGTTGAGAGTGCATTTCAATAACAAACATAGGTCGCAAGCACTATTGAAATACGACCATTATTGAAATAATTATTTCAATAGTGTGTGACAGTGCATTTCAATAACAAACATAGATAGTAACCACTATTGAAATACGACTACTATTGAAATAATTATTTCAATAGTGGGTAAGATTCATTTCAATAACAAACATAGGTTGCAACCACTATTGAAATAATGATCACTTTTGAAATCGAGATTTCAATATGGATTAAATCATTAATTTCAATTGTGCATTGAACAAAGAATCCAATATAAATTGAAATAATTATATCAAAAGTTGCTGATGTGGTGTAACTTTTCTTCCAATACTTGTAGTATTTCAATAGTGGTTGAAACCTATGGTTACCATAATGAAATGCACTCTCACCCACTATTAAATAATTATTTCTGTAGTACTCGTATTTCAACAGTGATTGAAACGTTTGGTTATTATATTGAAATGCACTCTCACCCACTATTGAAATAATTATTTCAATAGTGGTCGTATTTAAATAGTGGTTATTACCTATGTTTATTATTGAAATGCACTCTCAACCACTATTGATATAATTGTTTCAATAGTGGTCGTATTTCAATAGTGGTTTCTAACTATGTTTACAATTGAAATGCACTGTCGACCACTATTGATACAATTATTTCAATAGCGGTCGCATTTCAATAGTGGTTACTAAATATGTTTGCTATTGAAATGCACTGTCAACCACTATTGATATCATTATTTCAATAGTGGTCCCCATTTCAATAGTGGTTATAACACTGGTTTCTACTGTTCAAAAGATATGGCCAAAGTAAAAGTTTAAAATTTTCATGTAAAAGTGGATCAAACTGCAAGGTCAAGGTTAAAAGGTCAAATTTGGTGGTACCCAAAGAAAGGTCTTGTCACAAGAAATACACATGTGAAATATGAAAATCATGGCTCTACTAAATCAAAAGTTATGGGCAAGGTTAAATATTTGGCGGACAAACAGACAGACAGCTAGACAGATGGATGGACATGACAAAAACTATATACCCCCGAAACTTCGTTTACAGGGGAATAATTAATATAGGTTAATGCTAGATGTACATATTCTTCCGTTTTCTATGTTTTTTTATTCTTAAGATTTTCAAGAGAAAATATATATTAAGGTACAATTATACTCTGATAAGAGAGATAACTCTTAAGGACACACATGTCTATTATTCTTTTATAAATTTGTCAAGTTTAAGTGAATTTTTTGTCAAAGTTTGTCCCGCAAGCCATGCTTTAATTGTATGAATTTTATTCAGCATATACACTTCCTTTGGAAAGTTATAAAAATTTCATATGAGTGAGCAGAGGGTTTATGAACCTTAAAAAGGTCATCTTAAAAATCATGTTTGTTTGCCCTTTTCCAACTCAGAGCGAAAAATTAGTTTGGTAGATAGGTTGGTAATTTTGTTTCAAAGAAAAAACAAGTTGTGTTCGTGACACTGATGCCCCTGTAGGGTAACATAGCGAAGGTTAATTTTTCGCCAATGCAAATCAAACATGTTGATACCCAAAGGAAGACCTTCTCGACAAAAATACAAATGTGAAATATAAAACCCTAGCATTATCTGTTCAAAAGTTACATATATGACTAATGTTATAGTTTCTATAAAGGTTGGTAAAACTCTGGGGTCAAGGTCAAAGGGTCATGGTTGTTTGTTTCTAAAAACAAAAAAGTTTGTCACAAAAATTACATATGAAAAGTATAAAAGCTCTAGCCCTAACTGTTCTAAAGTTGTTGCTCAGGTTAATATTTTCAAAAAAAGGCCAAACTCCAATGTCATAGTCAAAGGGTCAAAGTTGTTGCTATCCAATGGAAGGTCTTGTCACAAAGAATACATATCTTAAGTATGACATTTCTAGCGCCAACTGTTCATAAGTTATGTCGAAAGTTAAAGTTTGCAACTCTGTTGAAAAAGTGTGTCAATTTCCAAAGTGAAGAAGTCAAATTTGGTGTTAGCAAAAGAAAGGTCTTTTGGGCAGTGTGGGAACTTTTTTTTTTCGTGTCAACAATATGACTTAAGTTTTTTTTTTATATTACCTAGTAACCAAAAAACTTCACATTTAAGTTTCTGAGATAAAAAATAATAAGATATAAATAATTTAAGACTACATTTGTCTGTAGAAATTCAACAATTACCAGCATATCTTTTTCCATGTCCAGAAATCCACAATGTACCAATCCACTCAATGTTATGCCTTCCATCTCTCTTACCTTTAATACAAATTCAATTTATTATAATTACATCTAGTATTGCAAAACAGAAAAAGACTGCTTTCATCTCGTTTCAATGGTGTCACACACATTTTTTTTTCCTTTTAAACAGCTGCATGCAATTAATTCAAAATTCTGATTAGCGAAAACATGGACCTTCATACATGTATCAGTGTCCAGAATCTGGTGATGTAACCTGTGTGAGACCGCTGTCACTAATTTTGTTATTTGTAAAAAGAAATGAATATTCTTTAATACATATAAAAAATAAATGACTTTTTGTGTATACGTGTACATTGTAATATGCACTAAAGAACTTTATCGTGATTAAAAATGAAAATGGCTCTACTGGTTTTTATTTTTAAAACAAAGGAGACTTAATTTGAAACTGTGCAACAACAATTATTTATAAATAGCTTTAAAATGATAGTCCTTTTTTTTTTCTTTTTTTTTTTTGGTGAGAAAATTTATTGCTATCAGGCTAATACCGTACGGGGGAAAACTTTTGCAGAAATTTCAATTTTTAAGAACCCTAGCAACACCTTTCATCAAAGTAAGGAAACATAAAATTTTTTTTTTTTCAGTGTATTCTATATGTCGCCAAGTTATATTGAATTGGATAAAACTGTAGGAGGAATAAGCATTTCACACAAATTTCAATTTTCAAAAAATTTGGCAACTGTATTAGCCAAAATCAAATACTAAAAATAGATAGAATTATGTATCTTAGTGTACTAGTCTACTGTTGTTCCAAATTATATGTGCATAATTGAAATCAAGCCAAAACTGTAGGAATTTTTTTACTTGTTAACATACAGACAGATAAATGACAGTAACCTAAATGGAATATACTATCATAATCCTTCTGGTCAAGTAGATCAAAAGAGTATCATGTAAAAACATCACACGAACTATATATAATAAATTTTGTATTTTGAAGAGCAATTATTTGAGGTATTTAAATCTCCCTCCAGACCATGAAGTATAAACACCTGACAGGTAGATAACACAGGTGTGTCAAGTGATCAGTGTGTATATACAGATTGCACTTGGAAATCGATCAACAGGACAGCCGCCATTACTGAAGTCAGGTAAGAAACATTTGAGTATTTCTGTCCATATGAAAACAATTCTGAAAGTCGCTAAAAATTCAGTACTGCAGGCTTTAACTATGTAAACAAATTTTCCTTCCCACAAATATTCAGTGAACCTTGCAAATTAATATAAAGACTTGATTTCGCACGTGAATATATATCTGCCTAATGGTCTCAGGCAAAATGTAGTTTTTAGAGTCAGAAACATGCATGTTGCTCTCAAATGTATAGTTTCTAATTCTTGATATATCAATTTTTTATGCTTCAGGCACAAAATCTAATGATGGACCCCCGTACCAGTGCCCAGGACGTGACGCGATGTGACCTGTGTGAGACTGCTGTGGTACAGATGCACTGTGATGCATGCCTTGTCAACCTTTGTACAGCTTGTGTAGGAAAACACATGATATCTGATGAATCCAAGGATCACAAAGTCGTCAAATTTCAGGCCAGGAAATCCACTCCACTCTACCCTGGATGTACAATTCATGACAAAGAACGATGTGAAATGTACTGTAAACAATGTGACATTCCTGTCTGTCTTAGCTGTCTAGCATCAAAACAACATTTAGGTCATGAATTATCTAAAATATTGCAAGTTCTGGATGAAAAGAAGGACATTATTATGAAAGAAAGAAATGAATTAAACAAGACAATTTACCCAACCTACCAGGACATTGCCTCTGATGTACAAAACAGAATGAATCAGTTAGAAAAGGAATATGGAGATCTCTCAACAACCATAACAAAACATGGAGAGGACTGGCAAAGAGAAATTGACAAACTTGTCAAGAAACTTAAAGCTGGAGTTGATGAGATGAAAAACAGACAGTTTCGAATTCTACAGAAAAATCTGGATGAAATAAACAACACATTGTCTGACATCAAGGATGAAATTGATTCAATGGAAACTGTAATAGACAGCAATGACTTGTCAAAACTAATAAGTGTATCATCCTATGTACACACATACAGATATCTTCCACACAAAATTATACCATCTTTACCCAAATTCATTCCAGGAAAAATGCATCAAGAAGAACTAAGTAAAATGTTTGGAGCGTTATCATCAAGTTCTTTAACTTCAGATAAACATGGATACAGTATGAAGACGTCACAGAAATCACTAGAAGGTGGATCCTCTCCTCCAGTCAAACAGCTGCTTGATGAACCAGAGACTGTCACCACCATCAACACTGGGTATAGCAGTTACTTTGCCAATATGGCCTGTCTGAGCGATGATGAAATCTGGACAAGTGGATATGGCAGCATCATGAAACTCTACAGCATCAGTCAGGGATTACTACTCAAGTCAATCACAACCAAGTCAGGAAACTCACCATCTTATATAGCTGTGACAAAAAGTGGAGATCTAGTTTATACCGATTACAATGAAAGAACTGTGAACATTGTGAAGAATGAGAAGATAGAGGAGGTGATCAGACTACAGAACTGGAAACCTAATGGTGTCTATAGTACCTCCTATGGTGACCTCGTGGTTATCATGTACAATGACGGTAACAAACAAACAAAAGTTGTCCGTTACTCTGGCTCCACAGAGAAACAAACCATTCAGTTTGATGAAAAAGATAAACCTCTCTATACGGTTGATTCTAGATATATTACTGAGAACAGGAACCTGGATATCTGTGTGTCTGACAATGGAGCTAGAGCAGTAGTGGTGGTCAATCAGGCCGGGAAACTGAGATTCAGGTACACTGGACATACTCCTTCTCCAAGGAAGAAACCATTCGATCCACGAGGAATGACCACAGACAGTCAAAGTCACATCCTTACAGCTGTTTATTTCAGTGACTGTGTCCACATCATAGATCAGGATGGACAGTTCCTGCGTTACATAGAATGTGGACTGAGTGTACCCTGGGGACTGTGTACAGATACAAATGACAATTTGTTTGTTGCTCAATTTTTGAAGAAACAACTGAGGAAAATCAAATATTTGAAGTGAAATCTTTGATCATTTACAGCAAATCGTGACACTTATTCATCTTAAAATTATAATAATCATACAAAGACACTTTTATGTATTTATTATGATTATGATTAATGTATGTAAATATGCTACAATGTCATTTGCATTTGCTAAATATACATGTAAATATGATGTCTGATGAGTGGAATTTCGAGGAAAAATATAGTCTAAATTATAACGTTGTCAAAATTTCCACTGTAAATCAAGGCATGTAGCATTCTACATCTATCTAAATATAAACTGCCCTGATCCCAATGCAAATTAAGTCACTTCCATTTTGCACATAGGAGAAACTATCCCTCTTACACTTACAAGCAATTACTACACTCCATTTAAAAAAAAAGGTTTACTAAAGGCCTATTTTGGCTCTGTGAATTTCAAGAACATTGCAATTTTCACAAAGCCCATTGTTCTATAACTGGATTTGCAAAGAAACTTGTTTTAACGGAATGTAAGTACTAAGTCTCATCTTTATACTATTGTTAGTTTCGGGCTGTTGTGACTTGGTCATTTAATTGGTATATGGGCAGGGCCTTTTTTGAAAAGTGAATATAGCTCTTTGTTGTTAATAAATGTATTGCATAAATATCTAATAGAAAACACGATCATCACAGATGAGGTGGAGTATAAAGTTCTGGATTTCCTTTTTGTACTTTGTCTGGATCATGGTAAAAAGATTACACAACACCACGACCTGGATGTAACCGAGGATCGTTACACAGGAATGCCAGGACTCTAGTCCCATCACGTACAGAAATCAAGGAAATGTTAAGAAATAAAGTCTCTATTATTTTAATTAATATGACCCTTAAGATCCTGATCACTACATCAAATTCTTCAACAATATATCTTCTTACCATAGCGGGAGCCTAATTACTTTATGCCATGAACTTAAAATAATGATTCTACATTTTGTGTTACTGAGAAGTTTCTACAATTGTAACAGTGTTTTAGACCGTATCCATTGGACAGGATATGACATTTAAATTCAATTTCAGATTCATATCTATTTTTTAGCCCTGTTTCTGTTGTACTCACTTCTCTGATGGTCTCCAGACACACCGCGAAATTGTTCTCCTGAATCAGAGCCATACAACAGTCAATCTGTGTGATTAGTTGTACTCACCTCTCTGATGGTCTCCAGACACACAGTGACATTGTTCTCCTAAATCAGAGCCTTTGAGAAGCATGCCAGGGCCATAGAACAGTCAGTCTCCAGTTCTGTGTGATTAGTTGTACTCACTTCTCTGATGGTCTCCAGACACACAGGGACATTGTTCTCTTGAATCAGAGCCTGAGAGAAACAGGCCAGGATCATAGAACAATCAGTCTTCAGTTCCTCATCCTTAGTCTCACTCTCTAACGTGCAAATCTGAGGGGGAAATCAAATGAATCTTAATATCAAAAAGTCATTTTAAACCTAAAAAGTTTTTCTGCATATTTTTCATCACTCTGATTAAATACATGTGCATGTACTATCATATACTTGAAATACATGTATTTACGAATTTAAAAAGAGATCCGAAATGCATACTCTGCAATCCTCACAATAATACTTATAACTAGATGCGTTCTTGTTGCTGGTGCAACAAGCAGGTCTTCCGACCGATTTTCGTAAGAATTCTATGCTGCGTCATCCCATAAAATTTCAGAATGTATTTTTTTTTTATTTACGTGCATTTACAGCAGCCTCTTAACATATCTCATGATTATTACATGTATTCCTCAAAATATCTCAAAAATAGCTTTTAAAAATCGGCAAAATAGTCCATACATGTAAAAAAAGAGAGAAAACTTATTTGCAACTGAAAAAAGACAGAAACAAAGAAAAAAAATTCAACGCCCACAGCGGGATTCGAACTCCTGACAGTGGGACAAACTTTGGTTTGGTCACATCTTTTCAATATATGCACGCATCAAGATACTAAACACATATTTAGAATTCTCATAAGACACACTATAAACGCTGTAAATACTAGAGAAAAATATTGAAAAACAAAAAAATTGAGAAATGTGACTTTTTGAATTCACTTCCGTTTACGACCGGAAGTGCCGACGACGAAAAATAAAGGTCGTTGCCCATAATGGAGTTCGATGTTCTATCACCTCAGTGAGTTTCACTTTCATATCTTTAGCCGTTCTCGAGAAAACTGCTGGACAAAATGCCTTTTAAAAAATACAAAAATCCCCCAAAATCGCGAACGGAAGTGAATTTTGAAAAAATGAAAAACACGTCTGGAGATATTCTCATGTTTCATCTTCTCTGAGAAAATCTGTGAAATCTGTCCACGCATAGCGGAGATATCGGCTGTACTATGAAAAAAGAATAATAATAATAACTAGATACGATCTCGTTGCGAGCAACGAGTGGGTCTTCCGTCCGATTCTTGATGAGATGAGATAAGATTTTGAATGAGATTTTCATTCTAAAGTAATGATTTTCCATTATCTGTAAAAAGACATTGAACAATAAAGACTTCTAAAATCGACTTTTGGCCCCTCACGGCCCCTAATATTAGGGATCAGCCCTTTTTTCTTCATAACATTTTGAAGCTCTTAGGATTTTGAGCACTTTCTGTTCAACAACTATTCAGAGATTCTTTTTCGTTTTCGAGTTATTCGCAAAAGAAATATTTAGGGGCCAACCCGTCAACTCCCTAATGGGGACGTTTAGCGAAAAATGAAAGGTTGCATATTGTTCAGAACATGATTTTGAACATCTTTTATTCAATATTACTTGTCAAAATATTTCTCACTTTCGAGATACAAAGCGTCAAAGATTTAGCCTTCTGGCCCCTTGTGGCCCCTAATTATGTAATGTACAACTTTAAAATCATAATATGCAGTTGTAGATTGTTGAGTTAAACATTTTTGCTTCAGTAATGTATAACAAAATATTGACTGTTGAAGAATTGTCGAAAAAAGACTTTTAGCCCCTTTGGGCCCCTAATTTGAGTACCCAGCCCCTTTTCCTGGATTTCGTTTTGAAGCTCTTATGATTTTGAGCACTTTTTGTTCAACAAATATTCAGAGATTCTTTTTCGTTTTCGAGTTATTTGCAAAAGAAATATTTAGGGGCCAGCCCTATAACTCGCTAATGGGGACGTTTAACGAAAAATGAAAGGTTGCATATTGTTCAGAACATGATTTTGATCATCTTTTGTTCAATATTACTTGTCAAAATTCGTCTTACTTTCGAGATATAAAGCGTCAAAGATTTAGCATTCTGGCCCCTTGCGGCCCCTAATTATGTAACATACGACATTAAAATCATAATATACAGTTGTATATTGTTGAGTTAAACATTTTTGCTTCAGTAATGTATAACAAGATATTGACTGTCAGAGTTATCGAAAAAAGAATTTTAGCCCCTTTTGGCCCCTAATTTGAGCGCCCAGACCCTTTTTCTGGATTTCATCTTGGAGCTCTTTAAGATTTTGAACACTTTTTTGTTCAACAACTATTCAGAGATTCTTTTTCGTTTTCGAGTTATTTGCAAAAGAAATATTTAGGGGCCAACCCTTCAACTCCCTAATGGGGACGTTTAGCGAAAAATGAAAGGTTGCATATTGTTCAGAACATGATTTTGAACATCTTTTGTTCAATATTACTTGTCAAAATATTTATCACTTTCGAGATATAAAGCGTCAAAGATTAAGCACTCTGGCCCCTTTTTGGCCCCTAATTACGTATTATACGACATGAAAATCATAATATACAGTGGTAGATTGTTGAGATAAACATTTTTGCTTCAGTAATGTATAACAAAATATTGACTGTTAAATAGTTATCGAAAAAAGACTTTAAGCCCCTTTTGGCCCCTAATGTGATGAGTCAGTACCTTTTTCTTGATATCATTTTAAAGATCTTGTCATTCTGCACAAATTTTGTTCAGTATCTTTTAACAAAATAATTATACTTTAAAAGATATGATGCAAAATGTCTTAAAAAATCAGTCATGATTCGTGTCCTAATTTTGACCCATACCGAGATTCCATACTAGATACGTCCGGAAAATATCCTGACCCAGGTGCAACATGGCAACATGTCCTCTATTATCACTGAAAATTTCAACGCTCTAGCTTAAGCCGTTATTGAGTTCTATCACAGACACGGAGGTCGTCTGAATTTTAAGAAAAGGGCAATAACTCTAGACCGGAAGTGATTTTCAAAAAATCCTTCAGCCGGAGTAACTTCAGATAATTCTGCACCAACCCTGAAAATTTGAAACAAATCGATTGAAAGATCTCTGAGGAATCGTCGGCACAAAATTTGTGCAGAAAAAAAGAATAATAATAATAACTAGATACGATCTCGTTGCGACAATCCGTCGCATAAGATGAATAAGATTTTGGCCATTGAAAATTACCGCTTCAAATTTTTAAATACGAAAATCTCGAGATTGCCTTTTTTGATTCTAAAACAAATTACATATTTTGCATTCGCAAAAAAGTCACTTTTTCGTTAGGATATCTAATATAGAAAGAAAAATATTGGAAAACAAAAAAGTTGAAAAATTGCGGTTTTTTGAACTTCTTTTGTTGCGGTATACTTATCAATATATTTCTCATTTTTCGAAGATTTGAAAGTATAGATGCAAAACTAGCCCCATGTGGCCCTTATTACGTACCTGAAAGCAAATCAAAATTCTAGCTTTTGTCGTTTTTGAGTTTACTTGTGTCGACAAAATATTAACAACTAAAGAGTTATCGATTGAAAACTTTTTGCACCTCTTGGCCCCTAATTTAAGCGCCCAGCCCCATTTTTGTGACTTTATCTGAAAGCTCTTAGAATTTTGAACACTTTTTGTTCAATAACTATTCAGAGATTCTTTTTCGTTTTCGAGTTGTTTGGAAAAGAAATATTAAGGGACCAGCGCTTCAACTCCCTGATTGGGACGTTTAGCGAAAAATAAAAGGTTGCATATTGTTCAGAACCTGATTTTGAACATCTTTCGTTCAATATTACTTATCAAAATATTTCTCACTTTCGAGATACGAATCGTCAAAGATTTAGCCTTCTGGCCCCTTGTGGCCCCTAATTATGTAATGTACGACTTTAAAATCATAATATACAGTTGTAGATTGTTGAAATAAACATTTTTACTTCAGTAATGTATAACAAATTATTGACTGTTAAAAAGTTATCAGAAAAAGACTTTTAGCCCCTAATTTGAGTGCCCAGCCCCTTTTCCTCGATTTCATTTTGAAGCTCTTAGAATTTTGAGCACTTTTTGTTCAACAACTATTCAGAGATCATTTTTCGTTTTCGAGTTATTCGCAAAAGAAATATTTAGGGGCCAACCCTTCAACTCCCTAATGGTGATGTTTAGCAAACAATAAAAGGTTGCATATTGTTCAGAACATGAATTTGAACTAAAGCATCAACGATTTAGCATTCTGGCGCCTTGTAGCCCCTAATTATGTAATATACGACATAAAAATCATAATATACAGTTGTAGATTGTTAAAATAAACATTTTTGCTTCAGTAATGTATAGCAAAATATTGACTGTTAAAGAGTTATCGAAAAAAGATTTTTAGCCCCTCTTGGTCCCTAATTTGAGTTTCCAGCCCCTTTTTCTGGGTTTCATCTTAAAGCTCTTAGGATTTTGAGCACTTTTTGTTCAAAAACTATTCAGAGATTCTTTTTCGTTTTCGAGTTATTCGCAATTGAAATATTTATGGGCCAACCCCTCAACTCCCTAATGGGGACGTTTAGCGAAAAATGAAAGGTTGCATATTGTTCAAAACATGATTTTGAACATCTTTTGTTCAATATTACTTTTCAAAATTTCAGACTCATATAAAGCAAGTGGCAAAGATTTGGCATTAAGGCCCCTTGTGGCCCCTAATTATGTACCATACGACATAAAAATTATAATATATGGCTGTAGATTGTTTAGATAAACATTTTTGCTTCAGTATTATATTACAAAATATTAACTGATAAAGAGTTATTGTTTAAAGACTTTTGGCCCCTTTCTACCCCTAATGTGATTAGTCAGCGTTTTTTTCTTGATATCATTTGAAGGATCTCGTTGTTCTGCACAAATGGTGTTCAGTATGTTCTAACAAAATATTTATACTTTAAAAGATATGATGCAAAATGTCTTTACCAAAAATCACTCGTGATTCGTCATCAAAATTTTGAAAAATGCATCCATACTAGGTACTTCCTGTTCTAAACTCCCAGTAACATGAAAGTCCTCTATCATAAAAATTTCAGCGCTCTATCTCAAGCCGTTTTTGAGAAATCGCGGACACAAAATTAAAGGGCGATAAAAAAGTGATTTTTAAAAAATCCTTCAGTGGAAAAGATTATCCTGCAACATCCCTGAAAATTTGAAGTAAATCCATCCAACCATCTCTGAGAAATCTTCCGCTGAAAATTTGTGCAGAAAAGAAGAATAATAATAATAATAGTGAAAAAGAAACAATAAGAATAATAGAGAGGGTCTTCCGCTGAAGACGGAAGACCCTAACTAGATACGATCTCGTTGCGAGCAACGAGTGGGTCTTCCATCCGATTCTGAAGTAAAAAACGAAAAATCTTGCAGAAAAAGTGATAAAAAAAAATTGGACATTCGGGGGAGCGAACCCGGGTCGCCCGCGTGACAATCCGACGCGCTAACCATTCAGCCATTGAAAACACCGCTTCAAATTTTTAAATACGAAAATCTCGAGATTGCCTTTTTCGATTCTAAAACAAATTACATATTTCGCATTCGCAAAAGAGTCACTTTTAAGATGTCTAATATCAAAGAAAAATATTGGAAAACAAAAAAGTTGAAAAATTGCGGTTTTTTAAATTCGCTTCCGGTATCGACCGGAAGCACTGACGAAAATTTGAAAGTATAGGTGCAAAACTACAACATGTCATCTATTAGTCCTGAAAATGACAACATTCTAGCTTTTGTCGTTTTTGAGTTTTTGTGTCGACAAAATGGTCACTAAAAATTCGATTAAAGGTCGATAACTTCCGACCGGAAGTGATTTTTCAAAAATTAAAAAAAATGGATCAAGTTTAGATCATGATACATCATCTCTGAAAATTTCAAAGAAATCCGTCCATGCATCTCTGAGAAATCGTCTGCACAAAATTTGGACGAAAAAAAATAATAATAATAATAGTGAAAAAGTTCTACCCCAACCATCCAGGGATTATATCCACTTTAGCACTGCAACAAAAAATCAAGAATTAGTTCCACCCATCATAATTCTTTTCATGTTTTATAAATAAGACCATTTTCTTTGTTAATTTACATGTATATCCAGAGAGGTGTAAGCCCCCTCACCTGTTTTACACAGCCTTATGGTACTATTTCCTCTCTTCATCCTCATCATCTTCCACCTCCATCTTCTCTGACGAGGAAGATGTCTCTATCCTGGCTCTCCTCATCTGTGAAAAATTCAAATACATTTACATCTTCAAAAAACTAATCTAAAGAGGATGCATCCGTGAACTAGAAATCCTTAGTTCTAACTGTTCAAAAGTTATGACCAAGGTTAAAGTCTTTAAAAAGTGGATCAAACTCTTCGGTCAAGGTCAAAAATATTTATACCAGCTGAAAGGTCTTGTTACAATAAATACACATGAAATATAAAAGCCAAAGCTTCAACTGTTCAAAAGTTAAGGCCAAGGTTAAAGTGTGTGTATTTTTTTTGGTAAAAGTAGGTGAAACTCCAAGGTCAAGCGGTCAAATTGGTGGTACCCAAAGAAAGGTCTTGTCACAAGGAATACACCTGTGAAATATGAGAAGCCATAGCCCAACCCACTCAATTGTTATGGGCTGGGTTAAAGTTGACAACAGACAGACAGAAAAACAAACTGACAGACAGACAGGATAAAACCAATATACGCCCGAGATCCTTCGATCTCAGGGGGCATATAATGTTATTAATGCAATATATGATTACAGTTTTTCAGACTTTTACAAGTTTAATCTTAATAAAATATAAACCTACCTTTTGAGCTGCCATTATTTCCATTATCTGATAGCACCAGGTCTTTGAGTGGTTCCAGCCGCCGAATCACTTTCTTGACAAAGTCCACTCCGTGTGGAGATTTAGTGGAGGAACCCGGCGTGATGCTGTAGTCATACAACATGATGTTGGACAGCAGGCTGTAACAGAGGAATAAATGATGATAATCGACTTTTAAAAAAGTGTTCCATTAAAAATATCACCTAGAAATTGAAACATTATATACAGTAAAATTTGTTCAATCCAGCTACCACTGGTTACGTGGACATTAGTCAGATTAATCAATTCTCTGGTTTATACATTAAAAATATTAAAATATATACAGGGAGAAAATTAGACAAGGCTTTGAAATTCACAAAGTATCATGAGCAAATTTCCACATCAGGAGCATACCTTCCAATCCTGTCCCTGACATTCTTATACCTGTGGGAGAGGTAGGGTGTCAGGAATTCTAACAGACGATGGAGGAGTTCAGGTACTCTCCCGTCCTGTCGTACTAAAGCATTATCTACGGCAAAGCACAGGCTAAAAATTATTAAATATGAAAGAAAATCAGCCATTTTCTTAGTTTCAGATTAATAATTCTAAGGTTTTTTTCAGTTGGGGGGGGGGAAGTGAATCACCTAAGGATCATTTATGGACATTTTATCACTCCATCAACTCTGCAAAACTTTTGTTAAAAAAGTAAATAGATTATCATCAAATGAATTCCCCTTTCAATTTTTAAAACTTTATGCATATTTCTGACATCTCTTCATATTAATATTTTACACGGAGTCCTCAAAAGAATGTTATCTAGAAAGGTTCTCAGAATGGGGATAACCCAGTCCCACAGGGCATTCACCTGTCAGAAAACATTCATAAGGAAGAGACGCAGTCAGTAGAAATTATATACTATTAGTTATCCAGGTTTGAGGATTTTGTACCCAGCGTTCTATTCTATACACCATAAGGCCGAAATGTATATACGCATATACCCATAAATATGTATTCATCAGGGTTTTAAAATGAATCAGATAAAAAAAAGATATATTTTAAAATCAGACATGAAAAGGGTTAAATCTTAAAAAAGAAATGCATATTGAAACAATGTTTTTTTTTTTTTTTTTTGGGTCAATTGTACTGTTTCATTTGCAAGTAAAAACCTTTGAATAAATCTGACTTGTCACGTACAAAAGCTGGCATCAAGTACTGTTAACTTTCAACTTTTTATGAATTTTCATATCAAAATCTTATAAAGTAAAATATTTTTGCAAGCTTTGTGTAGATGTATATTGTACCTCTCACAACAAGGAGTCATTCCTGTTTGTGTAGATATTTACTTGTTCTTCTGAATTGTTTGTTACAAGGAAGATAGGAAAACAATATTGCATTCTTTATAAATCTTTAAGATTAACTATAGCTAATACAAGATAAAATCATAAGGATCTATCCATGTTTAAATAAGTTCATCTCATCAAAGCAGATCAGCACCCCTTTTTATCAAAAAGTAGAGTCCTTTAATATTTTGTCAAAATTAAAGTCAGTAAAAACTGTCGTCGTTTTATTTTTCTAGATCTTAAGTTAACATTTATTTTGAATACCGATGGTCAGAATTATGCCTTTTGTGTTTGTACTATTGAAATTCCTTATGAAACATCTATCTAGTCTGAGAGGTGCACGAAAGATTATAAGTCCAATATTAATACAATTATGGACTTCAGTGTAGGTCGATATGTGGTTATAAGGATTCATGACAATGGATATTGACCGACGACACAGAAAGTGATAGCGACCGAGCCTGCGAGGTCGCTATCATTTCTGTATCTGAGGTCAATATCAATTGCCATGAGTCCTTATAACCTCATATTGACCGTTCACTGAAGATCCATTAATAGTTATATTATATAATCACTCAAAGTGAATGCACCGACACAGTCCTAACACAACGGACTTGACTGTCATTTCGTCACAATGGTTATCTTTTATTATGACGTCACGTTCTGTGTTACTTCAGTGCAACTGAACGGCGTGTCGTGCAATATCATTTTCCGCGGACGCGCTTTCACGTCGCTATCGCAAAAGGAGGAATGTCATGTGACGTCCTTTCAGCCAATGAAAACAACGAAAATAATCCTCTTATTTAATATTGATTGTTCTTGTATGGCACGCCGGATTGGTTCAAAAATATTTTCTGCACGACCTTAAACAAAAATAACACGAGTAAGTAAAAATTTACACAAAGTGAGGAAAGTATACACAAAGTTATTGAAATTTACACATACTATACAAAAACTACACAATTAACAAAATATTTACACGATATAATGAGAAAATTACACAAACGTAAAAACAAAAACTGCACAAGTGAGAATACAACATCGACAAATTAACGGCGCATCCTCATTGCGCACATTTCATTAATATTCATTAGAGAACAGCTCAGGTGGCTTTAGATGCTTGAAACATATACATATAAATCTAAAAGGATGAGTAATGTGTTAATTAACAATATTTATTCAATCTTTTTAAAAAGGATTCAGTCTTTTAGAATTCTGCTAGACTCTCAAGAATATGTACACTGTGTTTTATACATGTAAAAATTGACAGGTTTATACACAATCTTAAATATAATATTCACACCCCCGATTAAAAACATTCTACACATGTATATAAATAACGTTAAAGGGATGCATATATATTACCAGCTGTGTGTTTAATTGTTAGATTTTTAAACATTATTCATTTTATTCCTCTATCATTGTCTATAGCAATTTCTTTTGAAAGTGTAAAACATTGATATAGTAAAGGTCTTCATAAAAATTCATAAAAACAGCGTGAGGTAATGCAGGGCAGTTAACAACAAATCAAACTCTTCTCCTCCACCACCCACTGTGTGTACTTTGGTAATAATTAACATGATTAAGGTTGTGGATGCACAACCTTTTCATATTCGAGAGATTCCTGGCTCCCTGCTGGTGCTGGAATGAAAGACACATGTACGCTAATCGATTTATAGTTATTTGACACATCAATAATAACTTTTGATTAAGGTTACTAGCAATTTATACAGAGATTTTGAAGGAATGTTGCGATCATCTGGGTTATGGAATTTGACAGAATACATTTTGGAAGTAAACAGTAAAAAATAAAAAAAGGCAAATAATTGTGCAAATTTAAGTTTTATATTGAAACGATCGATTATGATTATTATTTTTTTTTATATTACTATGTATGTGACAAAGAATACAGTGTTTTACAATGTGTAGTGATTTCATAAATATCCATGTAAATGTAGAAAAATTGTATGTGTAGATTAGTTTTGTGAATTTAGGTAAATATTATATAAAGGAATTAAACAATTTTAAAGTAATATAATGCACATATAATACCATTATAGTGTCGCTTTTGATAGTGGGGAGGGGATTAGGGGGCAATTTTTTTTGACAAATTACCTGAATTAACAAGCAGACAAAAAAAAAGGGGGTGGGAAAGCGTCCAAACTCGAAAATCCTATTTCGTTCAGGTAGTTAGGCACCTTCAATTTTCCACATTCTTTGCAAAACACAATGTATATTTTACTCATAATTAAACTACCAAACAAAAAAGGGGATGGGCCTTTTCAGTGGACATTTACAAAAAAGAGTTATGTGTGCCAAGAAAAGAAAAAGAAAAGGGGGAGGGACATCGCGAACCTGATGCTACTGGCTGAAACATTTTTCTATGAATTTAAGCGTACATGAAGTAGTCGATCGAAATCAGGATTGTAATTCAGCCTAAAACTATAACGAAAATGTATTATTGGGATTTGCCTACGCTCGACCTAACAACATTTAAAAATTGGAGGATGGGGGTCAACAAAGAATATAAGGAAATTTTACTGTTGCAAAGTCTATAATACTCAGAAAAAAGTAGGGAGGGGGGGGGTCTTACGGCCTGTTTGACGATTATTTCATTTTATAATCATACAGTCATGTTCTTGTTATAATGGCCATAGATTTGGGTTCAAAGTGTTCTTACAAAAACTTAAATTTAGTGTTTAGGAAATAATAAATTATTAAAATTTTATGAATGTGGAGAATCATTTTACAAGGGTTGTCTTGGAAAATATAAGGCAATGAATCGACAGTGCTTTAGATGTCAGCAATTTGGTCATCTTTCTAAACAGTGCAGAAACTCTAATACAAAGCAAGTGACTATACTTATTGTGAAAAAGAAGTCCATTCCACAAAACAGAACGTGTAACATTGTAACGCTGGAATGAATTTCAGTAATTCACAATGGAATTAAAAGTTTTGTGTCATTATGGTCACAGACTGAGTTTGTAAATTAGATAAATTCTCTATTGGGACTCCTTTCGGTGACCAACAACGCAAGAGCACAACATTGGATAAAATGCGAATTTTAAAGAAAACTATTGTGAACCAGGAAGAAAAACTTTCATCTTTAGGACAAATTTAATTAACATGGAAAAAGACAAAAGACGATAAGGAAAGAAAAAAGGTGCAAGTTGAGGACTTGGAGGACAGACTCGCAGACGCGCCCGTTTTAAAAATGAACAAGGCCCTCAAGTAATCGCCCATTAAAATCGGGAGAATACTTACAGAAATATTTGTTTTTAAAGAAATTTATAACTGAAAATCGGCTCGTAGCAAAAAGTCAACTTAGTTTTCCAACCATAATTGATGCCTCCAGTACCCATTGTTCCTATCCCTCTACAGAAGAAAAGTGTCGGAACCAAAATATTTTTATGTTTGACTTTAAAAACACAAATGTACATCAATGGAAGCCGCAGGACTTTTAAAGTTTGGTATACACGTATATATCCAGCCAACTGAAGCTAAAGCATCCTCGAGGAAAAAAAACCGAAAATTGTTAAACAATCCGATCAACACGCTGCGTCTCAAACTATCCTGCATCATCGTATCCTTCGGCTATGAGACATATACAAATGTTCTTGTCAACAACGCTTTTCATCCTGTCCCCGACAGCCTTCCATACCGAAGAGTATTAATAAACCCTTTTATGGATATTAATTGTACAAGCGCAATCATGAAAGTGATATAAAGAAAAATACAATTTTTTTTTGCAACATGATTTGACCACAATCAAATATCATAAAGTTTGTAATTTTACATGTATATTATTCACTAATTTTTAATTTGTAGACTCTGATAAAATTATAAGCGAGACCATTGACACAAAGTAAATTTTACTAAATTTACTTTAAAAATAACAATTTTATAATGTATGAAAAAGAATTATTTTTAAAACAATTTATTACCATACTTCTTGATTTATCAATAATTAATGTTTAAAGTAAAAAGGAATTTGTCACTCAATATTTTTTTTTAAGAAATTGGTGTCAATCCTCTACCTCAAAGAGTGTCCGACTTGTATGTGTGATAATTGCGAAATGTGTTAATTGAAGTTTGAATCGAATCACTGTGTTGTGTGAGAGAGGTAGTTTTGATCCGCCGTGGACAATCCCGGATGTGAAAATTAA